GAGTTGAGTCAGCTAGGATGATGACTTTGACTAGGGCGTTGACTTTGACTTTGACCTGAGTTGACCCTTGAAAGGGTTACGAGTATGCAATGGTAATTAAGGAAGGTTGTTATGTGTAGGAGTTTGAGGAGAGCTGATACCAACACCGAGGACAATCAGTTAAGGAAGGTCTTAGTGATATGTAATGGTATTCGCAAGCTAGTTAGGTAAAGGTAGCAATGATTCCTTATGCAGTTGATGGCGGAGAGTAGGTCGGAGAGTTACCCTAGGGTAAGCCTAGGATGAAATTAATACAAAGAGCAGTAGTAGTAGAAGGGACTTGGTGAAGTCAAGGCAATCCTTGAGGAACGTACGGATAGATGTGGAAGGTAGTATGGACCCGTACTACTGAAAGCAGAGGATCCGTACTCGAGTCAAGGAGGGCTGAGATAGAACTAGGGAACTTGTAGAATGTGTGGGACCTCTCGAGGTTATGTATGACCCTGACGATTATGTGTTTTGTTTCAAAATGGTGGTGATTACGCGACATGGAGGGGGAGGTTCAGGGTCAGGATCAGGTGTCGAGCCAGTCGATGAAGGACTACGTGAGTTCATTTCTTCCGAGATCACGAGAAGCATCCTTGAGTCGACCCCGATGATTTCGGGTCGATCAAGGAAGGGATTATCGAGTTGATGGAGGATCGCCTTAGGGCATTTCGGAGTGACATGGCTGCCACTCATTCGGGGACAAACACACTCTCATTCAAGGACTTCAGGGGATGTGGTGCGCCAGACTTCCACGGGGTGAAGGACCCCATTGTTGCCAGGAGGTGGATTGCAGACATAGAGTTTGCTCAGTTGACGAGCTTATTCCCTGAGGGGTCGAAGGTCCGGTATGCTGCAGGTTGTTTGAGGGACCGAGCTCGAGATTGGTGGGAGGCGGTCAGTGATTCTTTGGGAGCCCCATCCGTTGAGGCTATGACTTGGTCAGACTTTGTGACTAGGTTTAGGGCTGAGTTTGCGTCGGTTATGGAGCTTCAGCAGCTGGCTAGGGAGTTTATTGATATGAGGCAGACGACTGAGTCGGTGACAGAGATTACCGCCAAGTTAAAGGAGAGGGCCTTATTGGTACCTCAGTATGCAGGGGATGAGGAGATGTGGAAGACCCACTATCACGACATGTTGAGGACTGACATTCGGAAACATGTCAGCTACTCGACATGCCCGATATTGGATGACATGATTGCGAGGGAGAGGGAGATTGACATTGAGCACATCCGGAAGAGGAAAGCGGAGACTGAGCAGGGTAATGGGGTTTCAGGGAAGAAACCCAAGGGAGTCGACTCTAGGTCGAAGGGCCAGCAGGGCCGGAGCTGCTGTGGGAAATGCGGCAGGTCACATGAGGGAGTTTGCCGGACTGGGGGATCAGGCTGCTATAAGTGCGGTGAGACTGGGCATTTTGGCAGGGATTGTACTGCCCCTACCCCCACCTTTCAGACATCATACCTGATTTGCTTCCATTGCAATCAGAAGGTTCATAAAAAGGCCAACTGCCCTAGATTGACAGCAGCAGCTCCAACGACCCTGCCGATTACGGATGGCCGACATGGCAAGACAGATGCTCCGGCAGTGAGGAGCCGAGCCTTCCAGCTGACCGCTGAGGAGGCGTGTGCCGCACCTGATGTGGTGACATGTATGTTTTCTTCTCCCTAACTTTTATTAAAAAAGTTTTATGTAAAAATATTTTTTTTGTAATTTTTTTATTATTTATGTTTTAACAATTTTGTTATTATATAAAGAACAAATTACTGAAATCGTCTCTATGGCTTGATTAAATTTGCATGTTTGGTCCATAACTTTTGTTTTGCACTCGGGTCGTCCCTATTGCTTTATTTGGTTGCGTTTTTCGTCCCTCACAGACATGAAAAGACTATATTACCCTTGGTCATTTCTTTTTTGATTTATTTTCGATTTTTATAATATTAACCTTTTAAAGATTATTATTAAAAATAAAAAATGTGGGTCCCTGACCCCATTATCTCTTCCCCCTCCCCCGTCATCACTCATCTCCCTCAGTTGCCTCACAATACTCTCTCATTCCCGTCCTCTTATTTTCTCACCGGAAGCCACAACCACCGACGAAGCGTCACCAGGAAACCACTAAGAAACGTCACAGGAAGACACCAAGAAACCACCACCACCAGACATCATCGATCTGCATCATCAATCCCTTATCTTCATCTTTCCGCCCCCATCTGCTCCATCCTCGCTCTTCCTTCTTCGCCATCTACCTGAATAGATTTGTAAAATCGTCCATGTGACATGGTGCAAGTGGCCGCCGCCATCGGTTCTCTCAAGGGTAGGAGTGGCGGCGACGGTTCTTACTACTTTGTCACAGGTGGAGCATCGTGTCCGCCCAAATCCTCCAACCACCACCATCTCCTTCACTGAGTGTCGTTCCCATTTACCCCCATTCATCTGGAAAACCGTATTTGATTTTTGGGATTTCATCAGTTTTTTCTTTCATCGTCGATTTCAGGTTAGGTTTTGCTTTTGGGTTTTGATTCCATATATGGTTTTCATTTTAGTTTAGGTTATGATTTTGGGATATTGGTATTTGACTTTGGTTAGGTTTTTTATTTCAGAATTTGATCTTGTTCTGGTTTTGATTTCTGTGTTCAAGTTTAATTTTCGGGATTTGATATTGGGGTGACTTAATGAAATCGATTATGTGATATGTATTAGAGCCAAAATCGGTGGATGGTAGTGATGTTGGAATCGCTCGGTGGTGGTTACGGGTGGCGGATGGTGGTTTTCAGTGGCTGATGATGGTTTTTCCGTGGCCTATGGTGGTTGTCGGTGGTTTGTGGTGGTTGTGGTGCAAGTGGGAGTATGAGTGGGTCCCACATGTCTATACATCACTTAATCATTTTTCATTAATTAATAAATAATAAAGAAAATAATAATAAATGAAAAAAAGAATACAAAGGGTAATATAGTCTTTTCATATTGGGGAGGGACGAAATACACAACAAAATCATACTATGAGGACGGTCTGAATGCAAAACAAAAGTTAGGGACTGAATATGCAAATTTGACCAGACCAGAGACGATCTCAGTAATTTGTTCTTATATAAATGAGTTCTAGGAAATAAAAAACCAAGTCAACTTCGTTGGTTAAGGCACAACTCACCTAAGGAAGGGTGGATGTCACAAGTTTGAGTCTTTCCCCCTTCATTTATTATCTTTTTAAAAAATTACAAAAATGATCGTTGTGGTTTACCAAACATCATGAATTTAGTCGCCGCTATACTTGAAAAGACCAAAATACCCCCACGTGGGAGGCACGCAATATGGCCTAACAACTGAATATGGACGAAGTTAGTAAAATTGGTCATCCGTGCAAGTTTTGCAAACCACAATGACCATTTGCATCAAAATGAATTAGCATAGACTAAGTTTATAACATTTGGCAAACAACATAGATCATTTTTGTAGTTTTGTCTTATTTTATTATTCAATTACGCTATTTTTATATAATCTTTTTGTTCTTCATTAATAAAATCATACCTTCCCTATAGGTCAAAGTTTAATATTCTTTACAATACCTAAGTGTAACAAATAAGAATCAAAATCTCTAAGAAATATACACATTACATATTCACCCATTGGATCTCCAAATCTGGAGCTAGTCATCTATTTATGGAACTATCATTTAAATTGCAACACACATTGTAGGGATGAGCCGAATCAAAGAGACATTTATTGGTATGATACTATTACATAGATCATTTAATTGTTTCTTAATCTCCATACATGTGGTGTGTGGGGGATCATCACAATAGTGATAATTAAGATAATGTTATTTGATATAATTTGTTGGTGGTTGGATCCCATTGGATTTTGCGTCTTCGTCTTTGCAGTTGTTTTGCATGCTCTTTGTTTTAACATACCAATTTTAAATATCATGTGGGTTTTCAGTGTCACGTTTCAAAATACTAATTTCAATATCATGTGGGTCTCAAGTGTATGACACATCATCATCATCTTCCTAATGTTGCGACATGTTATGGTTACACAAGGTTTTCACTATAGTGGATTATCTCGTGTTATCTTAGGTCTGATACCAAATGATGTCGTCTCTTATTTTTTTTGTTAGGTTACCAAACTCAATTATAAACTCATAATAACAACTCAGTAAATAACTAAATGATGGCTAGAGTTGTTTGTATTTTGTAGTATGCTCACCCTAACGAGATCCCTAAAATAAAAAAACTTATTTTAATAAAAATAAAAAACAAATATAACAAAATATAAATTTTAAACCTAAAATAAATAAATAAAACTTTATTTTCTTCGATTAAAGACACAAATGTGGTCCAAAAAGTAACTTAAAAATGATTTGAAAAGTTAGTATGTTGGAAAACAGCATCAATTTGCTTCTGCCCGATGGCTATGCCGTCAATGTTGGAGCTAGTATGAGAACAAACGGTGTTGAGCCCCCTACTCTCGCCCCCACCTTCTTTAGTAAGCTAAAATTCATTATACTTAAAATTCACCGTCCATTTTAAACATCCCTTACTCTAAAATCGATCTCTTTTAATCCTCTTTTATTAAAATTTTTTGGCTCTACCCCTCAACATCCCTATGGGTGACACCTGGTCAGTCCGTTCGTATCATTTGTATCTTAATAGCTTAGGCATCCGTTTAATCGATTGTCTGATGTGGTGTATCACTTCACCTTCTTTAATAAATGTAAATATGAAGATTTCGTAACATTTTGGAATTTTGTACTCTAAGGTTGCATCTTACAATATTTTCACTGAAAATGTATATTGCACCTAGGCAACGGTTTCGTAATTTGACCAATAACCGATGATCATTTTCTTATTATTTTAAAGGATGATTTATTTGTTAAATATCAAATACAAACAAAACAAAATGTGTAGTTATTTGGTGAGCATGTTGTTGTGATAAAAGAATAAAGAAAAACACTGTGAATTTGAATATGAAAATGAGATGGTAACATGTTAATTATTCTTTTTGTTTTTTGAAAAAAGAAATAATTTTTGGCCGCAATAAAAAAATCTTCTCCGAGAATTCATACCGATGTCTCAGGAACCGGAAAACAACATTTCTCTCTCGTCACCTAAAACTGTAAGCATCTGCGAACCCTAATTTCTGTGTAAATTCCATCATTTGCAATTTGGCATCACTATGCTACACATCTGTACACAGTTTCGTGTTTGATTAAGTTGCATACATGTTCCGCTTGCTCATTTCATATGATCGATCTCCGTCGCACCTCCTAAAACGATGTGCTTAGGGTTTATTCTAGATTTGTATTATGCTTGCAGTTACGATTTACCGTCTGTTATGTATTTTTTTCATTTAGTAGTATGTTTTCGCGCTTCGGCAAGTTTGGATCACTGTGATTTAAACTTGGATCTTAATTTTTCACTTCAAGTGTTTCAATTTTGACGTGGATGCTGTTGAGATATCTCTCAATGCAGATCAATGGTTTAGTAGCGTTACCGGCAAGGTGGATTTTTTTTATGCGAAAGAAACGCCGTTGATTGGCGTGATTTCTGCTGAATAAATTTCCGCATTAGAAGCGATAGGTTCTTTAGAAGTTCTGTGAGAAATTAGCGACCACCTATTAATAGAATTTCGTCATTGTGAAAGTTGTCTTTGAAAAATTGTGGTCATATATTGAAGAAGAGGAGCTCTACTTGAAACTATAGAGAGAAAACTGTTTATGGAGTTAGTTATTTTTTAGATCTTTGTGATTGAATCTCTTCGTAGGGATGATTTTCTTGAAGTAGTAATAAATAGAAGGATATAATGGATCATGCCCATGAGTAGTGATAAATTTGATAGATGGTGAATCAACTTCTTCTTGTACAACTGTGACTTTCTCTATGTTAGGATCATGTATGATGATCAATGAAAACTTCCAATTCGGGCTGATTTGTTCACCAACTCTTTATAGCAAATAGGCAATAGGAAAGAGCAATAGTCTGGCCCACCCTACCAAATTGTGATGAACTAATTATCTTTCCGAAACCAGAGAAAGAATGAATTGTACTCAATCTGTTATAAGAATATTAAAAATGGAAACGAGAGATATCCTTTTAATCTAAGGATCAAGTCAATAATCAAATATATAAACACATTTTTTCTTTAGCTAATTTAGTCAACATTCTCAGGTATGTTACGCCATCGAAGATAGCATATGTAGCTGATTTTCTAACTCAATAAATACTGCTAATAATAATATAATACCAAGTCCAACAAGTTCTATAATGATGAATTTAATTTTTTTTACATAGCCACTATCAAATTTCTACAATTTGGAAAACTAGTATTTTCGTGAATTTGGAATTTTATTGTAAATCTTAATTCATATGTTTTTTGCAAAAACAATAATCAATGCATGTTTTTAATCTAATATGTATTATTTTGGTGTTCTTTTGATTATCCCGAAACACATCAATATAATTTTTTTGCAATGTATCATGATATATTTTAATATCACTGATAATATTCCAGATAAGTAGTGTGACTAATTGTATCTATGCTCTAGGCTATTTCTCTTATAAACTACACACTTGTTTCTAACAATGGTTTTCAGATATTTTAAAGAAAATACACTGTTGTCTACTGGAGGATGCTATAAGCCCATAAGGAATTGCTTGTAAATTTCTTAAAGATTAACCTTGGGCACTTTTAACACAATGAAAAGCATGTATCGCAGGTTAGTTGAAATATTTTAGCTGAATGTTGGGTGACACTTGTTGACTTGTATGATATTTGTTGATCATTTTTTTTATTTTTTGATCCAGTGGTGTTTTCAAGAAATCAAATGGTAGTGCAAAATTAATAATAACTACAATCATGGGAGTTGTGTTTGGATATTTCATTGGGGTTTCTTTTCCATCTGTTTCTCTAACCAAGGTAGCTTCCAAATCTTGGATATTACATACTTTTACTACAAAAAAACAAAACTTCTCTTTCATTTATTGTGAATTCTTGCAGGTTATCATACCTTCAAGCATTTATTCACCATTTGATGTGACAATGCGTGAAGATCAATCTAAATCTCTTGAACGCAGCTTCCCTGAAAATCTTGGTTCTGGTAATACACCTGCAACTCCCAAGGTATATTTTTTTGAAAAATAATGATTAATATTTAATAGTCAAACACTTTTGTTGACTTATTCCTCTTTGGCTCCAGATCTATGTTCCATCAAACCCCCGTGGTGCTGAGTCATTGCCTCCTGGAATTGTAGTCCCAGAAACTGACTTATATCTGAGAAGATTATGGGGTGAACCTAGTGAGGTATGTGTTTAGATGTGTTCCATGAAATTATATATAGTGGAATGTGTTTGAGTTACAAAGTGTTTGACTTTTTAGGATTTGAAAAAGAAGCCAAAGTATTTGGTAACTTTCACTGTTGGTTGGGGTCAGAGGGATAATATTGACAAATCAATAAAAAAGGTTCCATTCATTTGTGTTTTGTTAATTCTGATGTTATTTGAAGATACTAAGGTCTGTTGATGAACATTTGTAGTTTTCTGGGGACTTCCAAATCTTGCTTTTTCACTATGATGGTCTAGTTACAGAGTGGGATCAATACGAGTGGTCAAAGCAGGCAATACATATTAGTGTAAAGAAACAAACCAAATGGTATATATATATATATATATATATCAAGTTCATTATTTTTTTCATGGTTATGACATTGTTGTTCCTATATTTAATAACTCTTTTAATAGGTGGTATGCAAAGAGGTTTTTGCATCCGGATATTGTAGCAGCATATGAGTATATTTTCATTTGGGATGAAGATCTTGGTGTTGAACACTTCAATGCCGACAAGTACTTATCTCTTTCTCTGTTCTTCACAAATTCTTCATTTCCATAAGTTGTAAATTATAAATGAAATATTCATTTTTTGCATCCTACTTTAGGTATATCCATTTAGTGAAGAAACACGGTTTGGATATTTCCCAACCTGGTCTTGAACCCAATAATGGATTAACTTGGCAAATGACAAAGAGGAGAGGCGACAAAGAAGTTCACAAGTAGGTTATGATTTATTTATTTATTTATTAAATTGATATAATTTTCTTGAAATACCTTCTAATTTATTGGTCAACAGGGATACAGAAGAGAAACCGGGGTGGTGCAGTGATCCCCATTTGCCTCCATGTGCAGCGTAATCTCTCTCTCTCTCTCTCTCTCTCTCTCTCTCTCTCTCACACACACACACACACACACTTGGTATGACTTATTAATTATAATTTTTTTTTTCTTTCAGATTTGTAGAGATTATGGCTCCTGTATTCTCTCGGGAAGCTTGGAGGTGCGTGTGGCATATGATTCAGGTAAAGATATATAAAAAATATATAGGGATTTAACATATTAACAATAATGGTAATATTGGTTTTTTATAATGTTGTTACAGAATGATTTGGTGCACGGATGGGGTTTGGATTTTGCACTTCGACGATGTGTAAAGGTTAGTCAATCATTTCCATTTTCATATCATATTAACTTCAATTTAAAAATCTTAAAAAAAAAAATGTTTTGATGTGACAGCCTGCACACGAAAAAATCGGGGTAGTTGATTCACAGTGGATCATTCATCAAGTCGTCCCCTCACTCGGGAGCCAGGTGAGACCAACCTCATATTATTATATTTTGTTCATGGAAACAAAAGTAGAATGGTATAATTGGATGGTTTTATCAAAGTAGAATGTTGTTTTGGTAATTGGTATGGTATTGATTCAGGGTAAGTCTGAGAATGGTGAAGCTCCATGGAAGGGGGTAAGAGATAGGTGCAGAAGTGAATGGGCATTGTTCCAAGATCGACTTGCAAATGCAGATAAAGCTTACTTCAAACAGACTGGAAGAGACTAAAATCATCTTGCTGCATACACACACACACACACACACGTACGTACGTCCTGATCCCCTTTTATTGGCGTTTTTTTATATGCATATTGAAGCCCGGTTTATGAGTTGAGGTGGCTTTTGTGTGTTTACCATAGGGATCCATACTTTGTACCTTAGCCCTAGCCTATAACCACAAAATGTGAGCTTTTGTGCATAGTTTTACGATACCAAGCTTTAGATTTCGCAGAGTGTTTTGTTTTTGTTTTCGTTTGACATACGTTATGTTTTTCTTTCTGCATGTAACCATATAGTTCATTTTCACCTTTGGTGACCCTTTTGTATAATATTGTACGTCTTGTCCTTTAAGTATTGCTTATTTGTCGAGCAATATCATAAATTCATCGAATTTGTTGTAAAATGACCTGCTGATGTTTTGACTCGGGTTGTAAGTAATACTATGATTAAGTATATCTGTTGATATTGTGCAAAGATCTAGAGAAATGTGAATGTTTTACTGTAAAATATTGTTTTTCACATGAAACATATTTCTCATATTAATAAAAATATAAATACATACTCGATAAATACACTGACATCCTTCTATAGCTTTATTGGAAGTAATGGTCCAAAGGTTATGACTGAAACGTGTGCAACAGAGATATAGGTAGTTCTTTAGTGAAGATACCGACACCGACGTGTTAGGAATTCAAGGGAGGATACAAAAATGTAATCTAAATATCAATGTCAGGTTGTTGATGTTGCTTTAAAAAGGTGACAAGTGGAATTCACAAAGATATTTAACTCAACAAGTTTATGCAACAACATTGGTCACTCCTTGATGTTCGACTCAAACACCAGAGCATGAATACCAACGTAACATTATTTGAATGGAAAAGTAGGTTATTACACCAAACGTGGCCCACCGTGAGTGGGCACCCTGCAAATTTGTGTCTAAATAGGTGGTAAGATCGGTTGTGAGGGAGATGTGATATTGTTATCTGTTATCGAGGGTACCTTGAATGTATCATAGTATGTGTATGTGTTTTAGTGCACTGAAGTATGTCTTACATGGGTCGTGTATAAAAGGGCATATTTGGTGAACATGTGATGCGAACGAAAGATATTGAAGTGCACCATGAAGATTCTATAAAGATGGATATCCGCAACAAGTTTGCAAGTTTCATCCAATTTGGACTATATACCACGAGGTGTGACATGATTTGTAGTTGAGCATGTTCGTGCGCTCAAGAATCTCGATGACATACTTTTGTTGGATGAGGAACAAAGCGTTGTTGCTATTGGTATTCAAAATCCCAACGAAAAGAATAAGTTAACCCAAATCAGTCACTGAGGGATGAAATAATGTGCATTAATAAGGTGAGTGATGATGCCATCACGAGAAAGTCAGTAAAGGAGAATATATGCTAGAGTATATAGTACTCTAGCCTGAAGATAAATAGAGGAATCTGAGTGAATATGCTAAAAGTCGATACACATAACAAATTATGCAAAACATTGATACTATGCATGATGGGCTTGTTTGAGAGGCCATATATCAGGCGCTACAAGTGACATACATAATTAGGAAATCCCGAATCATGAAAACACAATTGTTGATTCATAAACATAGTTTCCTGAAGGTGAATGCGAAAAAAGATATTCTTCACGTAAAGCTGGTGAATCGGCCAATGATATGAGACCGTAAGACTTAGTAAACTACAAATAGAAGTCTGTTTAACAACTAAGACAACTAAGCTGAAGGTCTCATCACAGTCAATACATAGACTCCAACACTTATCGTTTGCAACTTAACGAGCTTTGTAGTGAACAAGAGAACCATCAACATTGAGTTTCTATTTATATAACCAAATTCACATGTACTAAATAAAAATATAAGGAGGTCGTATGAACTAAACAATAGTTGGGGTCTTGTAATGCTTGTATATATGAACTCTAACTGGGAAGATGTCATTATTTAATTATTTTTATTATTTAATGATAACACTGTTCAAATCGATAAACCTTTTAAAGATAAATATTTTTTATGAGAAAAAAAAAGTTTTTTTGAATAAAATGCTGAAAAAATAGCTTTTGTGAAAATTTTCCTTAAATATTATATCTTTGGTGAAAAAAACAATATAATTTTTTTAATTCGCTTGTTATGTGATAAACTGGTAATCGACAAATTTGTTTTATTTCACAAAAAAATGACCGGTTCATGATGAAACTATAATTACGATGATTAATAGTTTGTAAATATGTTTACCTGAATAATTGTATTTGACTTTTTATTATAAATGAACCAACAGCTCTTGTAGAAATACCTAAAAACTTATATTACTTTCATTAGCGACAATATTTATATACACATACCGTTAGTTGGAGAAGTACATTCACTTCTAGCATGTTCTTTACTTCTCTTGTTGACATTTAAAAATTAAAATAACAAGAAAATCATTTTCTAACACACAACCATCCTAAAATCGTATCGTTTGACCTTGTTTAACCTCTTATTTTTATTTATATATTTTTTTTTCTGAAAAAACTAAATGAAATTTTATATTTTGGAGGGGTTTAATGGAAATTAAATGGGTGTTAAGAGGGTTACATCAATTATGTGAAAATATAACTTATTAATTAAATTATAAGTAAGAAAATTAGGTTGGTGAGTCCCAAGTCCCAAGCCAAGCTGTTTGGAGTAGCATTCAAGATGCCTTCATTCCACCAAACAAATAAGAGATATGCAACTATTTTTTAATAACAACTCTTGCTTCTTCCTTGAGTTTTATTTTTTATTTTTCTAAATTTATATATGATATCATCTTCTCGATTAATTATGACTACTTATTTAATGAAAACTATCCTTTTATAGAATATTGGAGGATTTAAGAAAAAAGACTGATACACAACGGATGCTTCTAATCAAAGTTTTTCTTTTTCTTTCCTTTTTAGTAACTATTAAGAAGTCCTCATCTCACCTTCTTGCATGCTCTCGAAGCATACATGCAGAAGTATTTGTATATAATAGCTGATTTTGTTGTTTAAACAGTTATATCTTGTGCATTAAGACATTTATGTCTTGAGAAAATATTTGATACGATTATTGTTTCATGTTATATGCTAAATGTATAAGAAATTAATCATTTATGTCTTGAGAAAATCTTTGATACGATTATTGTTTCATGTTATATGCTAAATGTATAAGAAATTAATCAATTTTTATATAAGAAATAATAAGTTTTTATGTTGAAAAGTTACATAATTTTATATCGTTATTTTAGTGAGTAATGAGATGTTTGTTTGAATACAATTATCATTACAGAAATCAATAGCATTGATTAACTCAACAAATCAATAGTGTTGATTAAGTTAACATTTAAACGTAATTTATATATATATTTTTAATTGTCTAGCGACTTTTCTAAACTATGTCTTAAATTTTATAACTTTTGTGAAACGAATTAAAATATAAAATAAAATAGGAACATTTGTTGTGGGCAAATATGTAATTCTGCATCACTTTAACATGATTTGTACCAACAATTTTGATCGAAAATATACAATATCATTTAAACAATGTTTAAGACATTCACTATTTTAGTAAAAGCATTACCATATGATATTCGATAATATTGATTGTCGGCATGCTTCTTTTTAAAACAAAAGGGCAAATTGTAATTAAACACAACTATTTGTACTCGATTTTATTTTAGACGCTTTTAGAATCAAAATCCAATGGTTTATGTTATACGTTTATAACTTAATAAGAGAAACCATTACTTACTAAATTAGTTATCTAAAATAAAGTATATTGACACAAAAATTCTTAAGTTTTTCAAAATAGAATTTTATCCTATATAACATAAGTTTTTTGTGCGATAAAACCAAAACTTTGCAATTTTTTTCCTACTTTTGCTTTTGTTATCTGTTATCATAGGTTTTAGGTTAACATTAAAAAAGATTCGTAAAAAAACCCCTAATTTTATAATTCTTTTAGGTTTTTACCTTATGTTTTTTCCCATATTATACATATTAATACAAAAAAACCTATTTATACATGAAAAAGTATTTAATTAAACATCGGATCTATATTTTTTTAAATGTTATTTCTTAAATTACAATTTTTTTTACCTATTTATTTGGTTTAAACGGGTAAAACTATGTTTTTAAAGTATAAATATGTTTGTTTAGAAGTGTAAATGTGTATTTTTTATATATATTTAGAAGTATAGATATATTTTTTAGAAGTATCAATATGTATTTTTAGAAATATAAATATAGTTTTTTTATAAATATTAATATATTTTTAGAAGTATAAAGACGTATTTTTACGTATTTAAAAATATATCAATCAAAAACATGTTTATATGAAAATATGTATTTTCACATAATTTTACAAATACATAAAATCTAAAAAACATAATTATGGTAAAAATGTACAAGATTGTAAACTTAAGGGTTGTTATTATTATTATTATTTTTTTTTATTTTTGGCAAATTGTATTTTATGATAATTTGTAAACTTGTGATAACAAATAATAAAAACAAAAGTAGAAAAAAACTTGCAAAGTTTCGGTTTTAACGCACTAAAAAGTAAAGAGTGATGTAGGTAAAACCGTATTTCTTTTTGAAAATTTAAATGGATTTTTTTTATGTCAATGTCCCCTAAAAAGAATCATATATATATATATATATATATATATATATATATATATATATAGAGAGAGAGAGAGAGAGAGAGCTAGGTTCATGTATTTAAAGTAATTGTTATGTTATTGTATGCATAAATGTGGGTCAATCAAAATTTAAAATAAAAATAAATAATTAAAATAAATAAATAAGGGTAAATAGGTAATTTGATAATTAGTTTCCACAAATAATATCCTATAATATGGTAATTTGATATTAATCACGTATATTTATAGATGATAATTTTAGGGTTTCAGTTTTCCAATTGACTTCTCCCAAGAGCCAAGATCAAAATCCCGATTTCTCGACATCAACACATCACTCATAAGCTTCGTGACATTCGTCGTCCGTCGATACTCGATTGCCTGTCCGTCTTCACCGAATCATCGTCTCTGGTTGTCTTCACCGTCTCCAGTCGTCTTCCTCGTCTCCGTCTGCCGAGTGCCGACTGCCGACCTGCTTTCCCGGTTAATTAAAACCCCATTTTCCCTCTCTGAAGTTTCAATCATCTCAATCTTCATCGATTTTGTGGTACAACTGAGTAACTAAGACTACATTTTGCCTTTTTCGATTACAGTTGTCGATTACATTCCACTGAGTTTGGGTTTGATTACATTTTGTCTTTATCATATGAATGTTTGGGGCATCTATTTTCGCTCCAGTTTCACCCCTAGGAGGGAATGACAAAGGGGTTTTGGGACTAGGGACTAGGGCCTGGGGGGTGTTTTGATTTTGAACCCTTTTCGGTTCCTCATTATGGAAGCCTATTTGATTCAATTCTCTTTACACGATCGGATTCGAAATTATTTGAATATCAGGCACACTTTCAGATTTCGGATTTAGTGTTTGATTTAAGATGAACGTTAATGATCTTCACAAGGTTTGGGAGATCAGAACGTTGAAGAGGAAGGTTGGAGGAGATGAGGCTAGGAGATTCCTTGAGAAAATCGCCAAACAGGTCCAACCCATCATGCACAAGCATAAATGGAGGGTTAAAGTTCTATCCGAGATGTGGTATCCTCTTCCTTCTTCTTCTTCTTCATTACATTAGGATTTTAAATCCCTAAATGTGTACATATATTTTATAAGTTGGTGATCTATTTTGTCCCGATAATTTCTTTGTTTTCCCTGTATGTGGTTATAACAAAATGATGACTCCACTCTAAAACAGTAGGTTGATCATACACTCTTCTGTTGGATGATTCAAAAATACAGTCTTGAATGATAACATTGAACGAAACCTATGCAAAATTGCTTACATTTACAAACTCCAAGGCATAGATTAACGATAATCTGATAGAAACGAATGTAAGGTACAATGATTTTCTGATAGACTCGATGTGTTTAGGTTTATTGGGAATTTGTTCTGATTGTCTAATTTTTACAGGAAATTGAAAGTTGTTTGATGCACACCAAGCGCTCGCTAAAATGCTTCAACTGAATGGTATTTCTTCGTTTATAGTATTCTATCAGAAAATAATGTTTTTTCATGATAATCATGAACATATTCTATTAGAATGCCCCGAATTAATATAATTATTGGTAAATGAATTCCAATTCTATCAGAATGGAATCACGAATTCCAATTATGCTGGAATGGAATATGAATATTTTCTCACTAATTTATTCATTAGATTTGTTTCCACAGAAGCTGATGCTTAAAGAACGGACCACGAAATTTGAACGACGCCTCTTAGCAACATTATTCTTTTAGAATAAATTTGTGTATTTGTTAGATTTTAATATTTTTTTCCCGATTTGAAAGTTTTTTAGTTTTATTCTTTAACAATAAATGTAATTCTTAGCAATTGTTACATGTATTCTATAAGAATTAATATAATTTTTGTTTTAATTCTTCAACTGCTGATTCGAGAATTTGTTATTCTACAAGAAAAATATGTTCAAGAATATTTTTATTATTTTATGGTTCAAGAATTTTTTTATTTTTGAATATATTCAAACATATTCTGTCAGAATGTCCGAAATAAAAATCTTATAATTCGTAAAATTGGATTTTTAAAATTAATAGAATCTATGATCCCTTAAAATATGCAAACTTCCTTTATTAAATCTATGTTAATTGACTAAAATACCCTTCTAGTTAAATTAGATGTTATTTTTCGATTATTTTTAATTCAATAATATGTATTAATCACTTTCTTAAAATAAGTAAAATGATTGGCCCATATTTATGCATACAATAACACAATAATTACTTTGAATAGAATAACCTAAGCTTTTATATATATATAATGAAATATTTTGTTTGATTTAAAGGATGTAGATATGCCCTTCATTCTGAGAAGTGAATTCTTAAAAAAAAAATGTTTTTTTAATGTAATTTACCAAACTGAAAAAGGTAAGTTTGGTGATATGATTTGTAATTGTAAAGTGAAATGTAGTTTTAAAAATGATAACGGCTACTGTCATGTTGATGATAGTGTAGAAATAAAAACACATTTTGTTTGCGTGTTAGTTTTGGCGTCAAATGGAAGCAATAAAACAATGAAGAAATTCAATTTTAGGTGCCAACAGCCGATGCAGATGGTGGAACACAAAAATATAAACCCCCCCCTCCATTCCATTCCATATTCATTGATTCAATCTCAATTCTCACACAACACTCTCACGTTCTGCTTCATTTGGAGTAATCATCAACTTACGTAATCCACCATCACATGCTGTGTTTTTGTTAACAGCCTCTTGTGTTTCTAATTCTAATCGCTAAGTACATTTCGCAAGGTCCGATTCAGTGATTCCTCCTTTTGATAATCAATCACCTGTTTTGTTTCAACGTATGTATATGTTCGTGTTCGCGTGTATTGGTTTTGGCGCCATCTTTGTTGTACTCGTACTCCATTTTCAACTGCTTTCATGAAGATTCAAACTTGTTTCAATTTTATTTTGTTTCAAAATTGCAGGCACTCCCAAGTCTTTCGGATTGCAGACCAATTCCGACGTCAATCAAGGTCAATTGGAAATTTTATATTCATCTTCAAATTCTTAGCAACGTTGATTTCCTCAACTGAAATTAGTATTTTCCTTATTTTGCATTTGTTATTGTATTCTGTATGTATCTATGTGACCAATATGTGTATGCTTTCAATCAAATAAGAAACTAATTAGGTCTCTGTGTTTACATGTTATTTTCTGTTTCAGATGGGAGAATTGACGGGGTATCAATTGGGGGTTATTGGTGCGTTGTTTCTATCTGTGGCATCATCTGTATCCATAGTCATCGTCAACAAAGCCCTGATGAGCAATCTTGGTTTTCCATTTGGTAAAATTTCTAATATTTCCTTTCGTTGTTACTTCCATTTCAAGTAACCATTTTGAGTATTATAAACAAAAAAAAAAAAAAATCCATCAATCCCCTCTACTAAATGGCCGGTTGTTAGACCATCATTGTCATTGAGAACAACTTAATCACTTTTGGATATTGCCTAATTATTTGCTTGATACACGACATATTCGAACTATCATTATACTTTATGCATAAATATTGGTACCCTTTTGTGTGTATAATATACACATGCTAAATTAGGGTTTTGTTTTTTTGATTTGATTTGGTAGCTACAACATTGACTAGTTGGCATCTAATGGTAACATATTGCACGCTTCATGTGGCACATCGTTTGAATTTCTTTGAGAACAAGAACATTGATATGAAGACTGTAATCCTATTTGGCATTCTAAATGGCGTTTCAATTGGTTTTCTTAACTTGAGCCTTGGATTCAACTCCATTGGCTTTTACCAGGTTTGTCTTTCTTCAATCTCAAGCATTCAAATTTCCAATACTACCCTTACATGAACAGTTTCAAATTAGCATATGCATTTCTGGTTTGTATTTTGTTTGACAGATGACCAAACTTGCAATCATTCCTTTCACTGTTCTGTTAGAAACTCTTTTCTTGAAAAAACAATTCAGGTAATTAAATGAACTTTTATATATATTGATCATTAGTGATTAGTGATTACCAAATATATGTTTATTTTGAATTATTGCAGCCAGAAAATAAAGTTATCTCTTTTCCTCCTACTTGTTGGAGTTGGAATTGCATCAGTGACTGATCTTCAGCTCAATTTTGTTGGCACAGTTCTCTCACTTCTAGCCATCATGACCACATGTGTTGGTCAAATTGTATCCTACCTCCCACTTTATATATATATATATATATATATATATATATATATATATATATATATATATATTAAATCCAAAAAAAGAATAAAAATATTTATTCAAAGTTGTTATTCTTAACAAAAGAATGAAAAAATCAGCTGACAAACACAATTCAAAAGAGACTAAATGTGACATCAACTCAGCTGCTATATCAATCAGCACCATTCCAAGCAGCTATTCTGTTTGTCACAGGCCCAATGGTAGACCAATACCTCACCAAGCAATATGTTTTTGCTTTCAAATATTCGCCTCTTGTTTTGGTAATAATTAATTCCAATTCCAACATTACCCTTTTTCTTCCATTTTAATTCCAATTTATAACAAACTTCCATGTGTGTTGTGTTGCAGGGATTTATAATACTTTCATGTGTGATTGCGGTTTCGGTGAATTTTAGTACATTTTTGGTGATTGGAAAAACATCACCAGTAACATACCAAGTACTTGGGCATTTAAAGACATGTCTTGTTCTTGGATTCGGGTATACATTGCTACATGACCCTTTCACTCAAAGAAACATCATTGGAATCCTTGTTGCCATTCTTGGAATGGGATTGTATTCCTACTTTTGCACACATGAAAACAAAAAGAAACAAATGCTTGATCTCTCTCCGGCTTCCCAGGTACCCCCTATTTTTTAATCCAATTAAATCGGACCCCACATACGATCATGATAATGATTTTTTTTTTTTTTTAAATATATTTTCAGATTAAAGATAAAGATAGTAATACACCTCTGTTGGGACACCAAGATAAAGAAAATCATTTTGAAGTGAAGAAAGCAACTAAAGACTCCCTTGTTTAAGCTAAAGCGACTGGTCTATATAGGGGATTTTTAATGTGTTTATTTTTCCTTTCCTTTTATCATGTAATTCAATTGAGTATCATGAAATTTTGATTCTTTTAAATAAAATTAAATCTACAACATCAACATGTATTTGTTTTATCTTCACATGGCTTCAATTACTAATATCACATTTGTAGTAATGTCGACAAAACAATTTTTTTTTTTTTTTTTTTTTTTTTTGTCGTTGTTAAAAAAGTGTTACAGATGAATGGCAATAAGCATTCATGTGGAAATTATGTACAACAATCGCTCATCGTCATCAATTTTATGTGATTGTTTTTTCTTTGTAGAAAGAGCTTTAAAAACAGAAATGATTCAAGCATATCTTGTGTTTGGCTTTATGCAAAATAACTTAGAGTTCTTATGTTAAGCGGGGAGGAGTTATTTAGATAAATTAAAATTTAAAATGATGGAAAGGTCATATATATTTTAATTGTTTTCCTAAAAACAAATTAGTACTTTTGATGAAACAATTTCTTTGAATCAAACAAAAACTATCAGGAAACGTAATTTTCTTTTGTGACATATCCTGTATTCAACATCTATTTTTAATAAATGCAAGGGCCAAATTAATGCCAATCAAGGACAAAGTACAATACCAAAGAGTTAAATGCTAAGAAAAGTAGCAATTTTTAACATATAAACTACCGAATGTTTTAGATATTTAATATTAATTCTATATTACTACTATGTACTATGTACTATGTTTCAAAGGTAATGACTCTAACACATGATTTCTCCACATTATCAACAAGCCAATGACTACATACTATCATACATACATAGTAAACTAGTTTTTTAATAAGTTATTGATAAACTAGATTATAAGCTAAGATTTTCAGCTAACGTGCCAAATAACTACAAGAAAAAAGAGTATGATCACACAATCATATTTTAGAAAGAAACTAAGGTTTTAAAAACATGATCGGAGACCGAACTAGCCGTCTTACCAGTTCGATGGTTTAGTTGGTCTAACCGGTCTCAAAAACCGGATGATGTCATAATTACATTATTATTAATTTTAATTATATAAAAATACAAATAATGATTTTTTTTTAATTATCAATTTTTACCGGTTCACAACACAGAAGGTTTTTTGACCTCTAAGAACCGGATCTAGGACTGGTTCCCAGTTAAATTGGTTGAAGCGGCCGGTCCTATACGGTTTTCAAAAATGGAAAGAAACTATTTTGACTTGTTTGACAAATTTCGAATTTTTGTTTCTATTCGTTAATTTTGAGGTTATTGAAGGCTTAATTTGGGTTTTTCCAAAAGTCGAAAGCTCAGAAGATGTATTATTGTTTCTGCACCCCAACCAATCGTACCCTTTCTTAATATTCTCAAAAGTGTTCTTGATTCGTCTTTCTTCCCTACAGTCAAATACTTTCTTCAAATCGATTCTTGTAATTTTTTCTTAAGTTATTGATTGGTAGGGTACGATATTTTTGGTTTTATGATTGTTGTTTCTCCAAGTTAGGTTATTGTTCGATCAGTATTATGTGTTTACTTTTTGCCATCCATTTGTTCGCTAAAATGCTTGAGTGGTTGTCTGCCTTTTGTTATGCATTTTTTTTACTTTATAAGCTTTTTTATTATAATACGTCTCACTCACAGTATAAACCTAAGAAGTGGATGCTACTTTGTGCAGAGAAGACCATCTGTGTAACGCATTGTTCTGAATCGATTCCTAATTCGAGGCTGCGGCCCGAAGATCGGTCATCATAAGGCTTAGGGCCTTTGAATAGGTGAGATCTAGGCCCATTTGGGTGAGAGTGATGTAATTGAAGTGATCCGTGTGTTTGGTTTGTGTTTTGGAGCCTAGGGGTATTTTGGTAAAGTGTCAGTTCGAGCTTTTTTGGAAATTGGATTTTTGTTCGAAAGGTCTTAAGGCTAGTATGAGTTGATAGAAGTGTAGGGATTATCATTACCTTTCCGTGGATATAAGGATCGCCGGAAATGGACTTATAACAAAAAAGTTATGCCCTTCGGAAGTTTGGTGGTTTTAAGGTTTAGCGGGGTACGCGGGGCGTACTGACCAGGATGGTCGCGGATGCTCTTCGGAGTACGTTGGGCGTACCATATGCACGTTGGGCGTACTCCAGTCAGACCCAAACCCTATTTTAGGGTTTTGGACCCTATTTAAACTCGTTATCTCATAACTTAACCCTAATATCTTCAGCCCCCATCCCTCTAAACCCTAGAAATCGACCCTTAGCCCCCATTTGAGTGATTCTTGAGCTTCAAAGTGATTTATGTGTGTTTTTGGTGCTTGAGGAGGAAGAAGGAACTTCTTGAAGAGTCATTGCTTGACTTGGAGCTTTCGGATCCAGGCTTTGTTCACCCTAGATCTAACTTCTGGAGGTATAAAGTCTCAACCTTGACAACTCTTTATTGTAGATCTAACTAGGTGGCATTTTGTTATGATTTTGGTCCCTTTGTGGTGGTTCTTGTGAGTAGAAGTTACTCCAGAACCTTTGAGCTTCATATTTGGCCCTTGTTGGGGTTATGGAGTCATAAAGTTTGGATCTTGATGAGTATAAACCTTCCATGCATGATTTGGTAGTCTTTTGGTGAAGCTTGGGACTTAGGGTTTTGATTTGGGTTCTATTAAGTCATGCTAAGTCATAAAGTTAGGAACTTTATGACTTAGACTAAGGTCTTAAGGTATTAATAAGTTTTTAAGACATTTTGGGAGTGATTTTGACCCTTGGAGTTCATCTTTGGTGTTGGGCTTCATTAAGCCATGCAAAGGTTTAAAGCCTTCGACTTTATGGACCAAGTCACTTATATTTAGCTATTCTGAGGTTTTGGACGTCTTGGCTTAAAGGATTAAGACGTTTTCTAGATTGGTTATGGGCAGGGTCAGTACGTGGGGCATACCTCCTCGTACACGGGGTGTACTGGGTTTCTTGGTCGTACGCTTAGCGTACTCACTGAGTACCCGGGGCGTACTCAGTCAGATGGGATTTTGCATTTGGGCTTCAAGTTTGGGCTTTCTTTTGGGCTTGGTTGTTGGGTTATTAATGGGTCATCTGAGTACAAGTGTTTTGGACTAGGAAAAATGGTTGGGCTTTAGGGTAAGACCCATGTAAGGGGTTTGGGCCCAATTTGGAAAATTGGGCCATATTTGGGCCTTGGTTGATTAGTTGGCCTTTGGGCCTTACAGATTGTGAGTTTGGGCCTTAGTCTTGGACCAAGCTAGGTTAGGGGTAAAATGGTCTTTTTACCCCAAGAATGGATTTATGGTTATGGATTGGAACCCAATTGTTGATTGGGTGTTTTTTTTGACTTTGATAGTTCGGGGATCTGTCAGTTAGTAGCCAGGGATTTTTTGTCTGTTTCAGTAGTGCAAGGTGAGTCTTATCACTATATCCATGGGTCGAAGACACCAATGCCGGCCCATTACTTGTTATGCGGAATGGTAGTTGTCACTGTGATACTTGCATGGAAGACCATGGGGGAGCTCATGGCACTTGGATATCAGACCATAGGGGGAGCCCATGGCACTTGGATATCAGAGCATGGGGGGAGCCCATGGCATTCTAGGTAAAAGACCATGGGGGAGCCCATGGCAACTATATGTATGTCGCATGATATTATGTGGTTGTATGTTATATGATATTTTGGGGAACTCACTAAGCTTTGTGCTTACGGTATTCAGTTTATTATTCAGGTACTCCGGTTTTTCAAATGAAAGAGCTCGAGAAGATTGCAGAGCACACACCATATGTTTCCGCATTCTATGAATTACTCTGATTTGATGATGTTTTGATAAATCTTGGTTACCTTGGTTTTATGGGAAAGATATGTATTAACAATTTATTAATCTAAAAACAAAAATTTTTATGTCATGATTTTTGGGACGTTACAAGTTGGTATCAGAGCCTTGGTTTGAGGGATTCAGACATACTCTCGGGTGTGTCTGAAATCAAACTGAGGAATTGGTAAAGTTTTTAAAAGAAAAGTATTTTTAAGAAAGAGTTTTCTAAGATAAGAAAAGGGTATGGTGCATGCAATCAGTCGAGCTCAAGTAAGTGTTCCCAAAATACACATACATGTTGTCTGTTATGATTTGGTCTATGAATCTATGAATCACATGCTAGTTAGGGCTAGGGATCTGCTCAGTTTTTGCATGATAGAATGCTATGAGAGATGCCTCTATATGCCTATTGTGTGAGTTGGTAGGATTGCATGATAGTAATGATTAGTCAGTGATAGATTGGCCTGATATGTGATGATGTGTAGTCTTGAGAACATTGGATGACATGCTGGGTTGGGAATGGTTATTGGTATCAGTAATTGCTAAGTGTATGTTTTAAAAATTGTATACAGTTAGGATCATATAGCCCTAGAATGATTGATTCAGCCTTATTTCATGCCCCTTGTCTGGATGTGCTCCTAGGGTAGATTCTTTTATTCGACAGTCTATTTGATCCTGTTTTGTGTATAATTTGCATGCATAAGGCAGCCGGAAGTGAGGGTGGAAGTTCCTAGCATGAGTAATAGTGCATGGGATTGGATGCCTGTGGTTATTCTATGGATTGGAGTGTTACTGCACAAATGTTGCTTGCTTTGCGCTTTGTGGAACTATTAGGTGATGGGAGTTAGCTACCAAGTGAGTACATCAAGTCACATGTGACAAAGGTTGAATAATCTCAGAGTGATGGATTTGACCCTATTGCGTAGCTCTTGTCTGAGTCCAACCGTTGTAGGGATGAGTCTGTTGCTTGAAGGATTATCTAAGCTTTGTTGCATTTGATTGTATTCATAAGGTGGGTGACTGAAATTATGGGGAGTTCTTTAGCAGCTGGTGGCAGGGGGAGGTTGGGAACCTAGGAAAGCCTAGGGATTGCTTCAATGGATTTTGTTGAGCTTGGTAGCCAACTGCTTCCGCATCGCCTGTTTACCGCTCTCAATACCGGCGACCACACATGCCACCTTCTAGTGCCGGACCCCAAGCGAAAATTCTTCACTCTCAATGACCCGGTCATCTACCCGAACCATCCCCTCTTGAAGGATCCAGGCTAAATGCTCTTCCAAGGCTCTCTTCATCGACGCTTCGACCGCCAGCTGCTTTCTTTGTTGTCACGCATGCACTTCCATTGCTTCCTTCTCTGCCAC